AGGAGAAATGCAGGAAGCTTTTGATAAAAAGATTGAAGTTGTTACAGGAGAACTTGCAATTAAGATAAAGGATCTTACAGTTAGAACAAAATCTTTAGAGGAAATAAATAAAAAAGTGCAGAAAGATCTGAGAGACCAGAGGAAGGAAACTGAAAAAAACTAAAGAAAACTTGGGAGAACTGAGTAAATCTCAAGACCAGGTCCTGGATAACCTAGCCTTGATGGAGATGAAACAAAAGCAACTAAACTTAAAATGTAGAGGTATAAGGGAAGAAAGAGAGGAGGACATAAAGGGGAAAATGATCAAAGAACTAGCGAAGTGGCTCACACTGAAAGAAGAAGAGGTCGCACTAACGATAGAAAATGCTTTCAGGATAAAAATAAGACCTAAACAAAACAGATTGAAAAAAGTTCCGGGGGACTGTTTAGTGATTTTCAAATCGATAGAAATGAGAAATATGATTTTGAGAGAAAGTTACCAGAGGAAATTGGTAATTGATGAAACCCCAATTATTGTTTTTAAAGAAATCCCAGTTAGACTTCTCCGAAAAAGAGAGGGCTACAAACAAATAGTTGGTATATTAAGGAAAAACGGTATACAACACAGATGGGAATTCCCAGAAGGGATCTCCTTTTTTTATAAAGCAAAGAGATTCAAGATAACTGAAAATCAGGAAGTCAGTAAATTCCTGTGTAGATACGAAAGAGATCTCGGGGGGGGGGGGGAGAAAGACGCGGAGAGAAAGAAGGAGAAAGGGAGGTGAGAGGGGAGGCGAGCCTGAGGGGGGACGGGAGAGGGAGGGAGGAGTAGAAGGTGGGGAGGAAGAGGAGGAAGGGGAAGAGGAGGAGGAAGGGGAGGAGGAAGAGATCGAAGAGCAAATAGAAGACGAACCCAACCGAACTTAAACCGGCAAAACTCAGACCAGGAAACTACTGACTTACTAGTAGACAAAAATGACAAAGAATCTCAAAATAGTATCATGGAATGTAAATGGTTTGAACGAAAAAGTTAAAAGGAATAAAATTACGAATGTGTTGAAAAAGAAAAAAGTGGATGTAATTTGTATCCAAGAAACCCATGTAGCCAAAAAACATAAACATGTACTAACAAACAAGTATTTAGGTATGGAATTTATAAACTCTACGGTAGAGAAAAAGAAAGGAGTGGCAATTTATGTGAAGGAAAAATGGGAACCAAAAATGATATATAAAGATGAAGATGGGAGAATACTAGGGGTCCAAATCAACTTCCAGGGAGAAAAGATTAATGTAGTTAATATATATGCTCCAAACACAAATAGACCTGAGTTCTTTAAGAAATTAGAACAAGTTCTAATAGACTTAGCTGATAACAAGATGATACTACTGGGAGACTTTAACGCGGTGCCGGTACCAGAAATTGACAGACAAACTGAAAACAGAAAACGAAACCAAGGAAAACTACCAAAATCATTCCTAGATCTAGAAGAAAATTTAGATCTAATAGACATATGGAGACATCTACACCCAACGGAAAAACAGTTCACCTTCTTTTCAGAAGTGCATAAAAGCTGGGGCAGAATAGATCAAATCTGGACCTCGAGAATACTCACCCTAAGAGCAACAAGTTGTGAAATTCACCCAAGAACACTCTCAGATCATAATCTGATAACTTTAGAAATCAAAGGCGTAACACAGGGAAGTTTTAGATGGAGATTAAATGAATATCTATTAGAAAACGACGATGTTATAGAAAGGGTCAAAACTACCTTAAAAGAGTACTTCGAATTGAATCTGAATGTAGGAACAAACATAGAAGTGGTTTGGGACGCCAGTAAGGCGGTAGCAAGAGGCTTATTTATTCAGCAAAACAATTATAAGAGGAGAATAAGACAGCAGAAGAAGGAAGAAATACTTAAGCAACTGAGGGAATACGAGAAAAAACTAATAGACCACCCGAAGGACGAGCAAAGTATCCAAGCAATAAAGATGTTACAAACACAATTCTCGATGCTGACGAGTCAAGAAATCGAATGGAAAATCAAACTAATGAAGCAAAGGTACTTTGAGTCAGCGAACAAAATAGGGAAATTTTTGGCCTGGCAATTGAGAAAAAGACAGAAACAGAACACGATAAACAAAATAAAAGTAGAGGAAGATCTGATAGTAGACCCAACAAGAATACGAAAGAAGTTTCTCGAGTTCTACGAGGAATTATATAAGAAGGGGGAAGAGGATACAGCAGAAATAGATAGATATTTGAAGAGACAAAAAGGGAAGACTATCACAGAGGAAGAAAAAGCCCAATTAAATAAACCCATTAGTATAGAAGAGGTCCAAAACGCCATAAAAAAAATGAAAATAGGGAAAGCCCCAGGCCCGGATGGTCTCTCGGCAAAATATTACAAAGTCTTAGGAAATCAATTACTACCGATGCTTTGTGACACCATGAATAACATCTTAAGGGGAGGAAAAATACCTGAGTCGTGGAGGGAAGCTTTCATAACATTAATCCCGAAACCAGACACGGACAAAATGTTTATTAAAAACTACAGGCCGATATCCCTACTGAACAACGACTATAAAATATATGCCGATATCTTGGCAAACAGATTAAAAAATTGTTTGATACATCTAATACACAAAGACCAAGCAGGTTTCTTACCGAACAGATTCTTGAAAGATAATGTGAGACACATCATAAACTTAATTGAATATTTGGAAATTAACAACGACATACCTGCGGCCTTGATCTTTATAGACGCAGAAAAAGCGTTTGATAATGTCTCCTGGTCGTTTTTACTAAAGACTATGGAAGAAGCGGGGATAGAGGGAGAATTTCTGAAAGGAATCCAGGCAATATACTCCAAACAATCGGCCAAACTGGTAATAAATAACACGCTTACAGATACATTCCAAATTGAAAAAGGAACCAGGCAAGGCTGTCCCCTCTCCCCGCTTCTATTCATTACAGTATTAGAAGTTCTGGCAAACAAAATAAGATCAACATCTGACATCCGAGGGATAAAAATAGGATCAAGAGAGTTTAAAATAAAAGCCTACGCAGACGACCTGATGTTATTTTTGGAAGAACCGCAAAGGAGCATTGAGAAGGCGTTGGAAATACTAGAAGAATATGGCAGATTAGCAGGATTTAAATTGAATAGATCAAAGACCAAGATATTAACAAAGAACTTAAGAATAGAGACAAAAGCAAAACTAGAGAGACAACATGGAATTGAAGTAACCAAGAAAATCAAATACCTAGGTATCTGGCTTACACCTAAAAATATAAATTTAATTGAAGATAATTATACAACGACCTGGAACAAAGTCAAAAAAGATCTGGATGCTTGGAGCAGAGTAAACCTTTCGTGGCTCGGCAGGATGGAGGCAATAAAAATGAATATTCTCCCCAGGATGCTATTCCTTTTTCAAAATATCCCGGTTATTAGAGGGACCAAAATTTTCAAAGATTGGCAGAAAGTCCTCTCAAGGTTCATTTGGCAGGGAAAGAGGCCAAGGATTAGATACAAATTACTTACAGATTGAAAGGAGAGAGGAGGATTGGCGGTGCCTAACTTAAGATTGTATTATGAAGCAGCTTGTCTATGCTGGGTGAAAGATTGGATAACTCTGGAAAATAAGGACTTACTGGAACTCGAAGGGGTAGAAAACAGGTCCGGCTGGCATGCCTATCTTTGGCTGAGTAAAGGAAAAACACATAAGAACTTTTTGAACCATATTATTAAAGGTCCGATATATGAAGTTTGGGAAAAAAACAAGAAATTGTTAGAACCCAAAACACCCTGGTGGTTGTCTCCAACAGATATTTTGTCACTTAAAAAAACAAATTTGGATGAACAAAGCTTAACGTATGAAGATCTACTGACATGCTCCCATGAAGGCTGGAAATTAAAACCATATGAGGAGTTGAAAGAAAAGTTGAAGGGTTGGCTACATTATCACCAAATTAATGCAAGATGGACGGAGGACAAGAAAGTAGGAATGAACGAAAAGAAATCAAAATTCCAAATCGAAATAATTGAAAGTAAATCTAAGTTGCTATCTAAAATGTACAACATTTTGCTAGAACATGATACAAAAGATATAGAAATCAAAGAGGTTACGGTAAAGTGGGCAAGAGATCTGGGACACAACATAGAACATGAGAAATGGTTAAAATTATGGAACGAGGGGATAAAATTTACAGCCAGTGCTGCAATCAGAGAAAACTTAGAAAAAATGATATATAGATGGGACTTAACCCCAGAAAAATTAAATAGGATGTACAAGACCGGTAATAAGGCCTGCTGGAAATGTAAAACAAATGAAGGGAACTTTATACATATGTGGTGGACGTGTGAGGGAATAAAAAAATTTTGGAATCAGATATATGATGAATTAAAAAAAATATTTAGACTCACATTCCCCAAAAAACCAGAGGCCTTCTTACTAGGGATGGTGGGAAAAGAAATACCGGAAAAAGATAAAACTCTGTTCCAATACGCAACGGCTGCGGCCAGAATGTTAATTGCCCAGAATTGGAAAAACTCAACTTTACCAACGGTGAAAGAATGGCAACTGAAACTTTATGGCTTTATAGAAATGGCAAAAATGACACAAAGAATTAGAAATCAAAAAAATACAAAGTTAACAGAAGATTGGAATAAATTCATGGTATATATTGAAGGTAATCTTAGTAACTTACCAACTACAGTAGGTTTGACCTAAATCTTCCAATGTGACAAACTATAAACTTACACCAGCTACATGATGAAATTATTAAAGGTAGGAATCCGAAATCAGGAGGGAAGGAAGTTAGCAAACTGCTTGTATGTATTTCTATTCTTACTTTCTCGTACTTTATTTTTTTCTTTTTCCTTCTAACCTTTTTTTCTTTATTTAATGTCTTTTGAATGTATATTGGTTGTGTAGTCTTTTTTCTTTTCTTTTTGTTTTTTCTTTTTGTGGATGTGTGTGATGAAGAAAACTCAATAAAAAGCATTTAAAAAAAAAAAGGATCCACACTCCTTCTATTTAAACCCTTTCTCTTCTTTAATTGATGGCCTGTAGGTGTTTCCACTCTTACAGCTCTTACCCCTCGGAGTCTTTTGGTGGTTTGTAAGACTTCCACTACAACTGAACCTCTGTCCACTTCCCTAGGACTTATATTGTTACTCCCCTGTATGAGTTTGTTGATGTTTTGTGAGAACTCCACTTGTACTGAAGCTCCTTCCACACTCCATGCATTGAAATGATTTCTCCCCTGTGTGAGTTCGTTGATGTTTTCTAAGATGTCCACTATCAGTGAAGCTCTTTCCACACTCCATGCATTGAAATGGTTTCTCCCCAGTGTGAGTCCGTTGATGAATTCTAAGGTTTCCACTAGTAGTGAAGCTCTTTCCACATTCCATGCATTTAAATGGTTTCTCTCCTGTGTGAGTTCGTAGATGAATTCTAAGGTGTCCACTCTGACTGAAGCTCTTTCCACAGTCCATGCATTTAAATGGTTTCTCCCCTGTGTGATTCCGTTGATGAATTCTAAGGTATCCACTATCAGTGAAACTCTTTCCACACTCCATGCATTTAAATGGTTTCTCCCCTGTGTGAGTCCGTTGATGAATTCTAAGGTATCCACTAGCAGTGAAACTCTTTCCACATTCCATGCATTTAAATGGTTTCTCCCCTGTGTGAGTCCGGAGATGAATTCTAAGGCTTCCGCTAGTAGTGAAACTCTTTCCACACTCCATGCATTTCAATGAATTCTCCCCCGTGTTAGTCCGTTGATGAATTCTAAGGTGTCCACTATAAGTGAAGCTCTTTCCACACTCCATGCAATTAAATGGTTTCTCCCCTGTGTGAGTCCGGAGATGAATTCTAAGGCTTCCGCTAGTAGTGAAGCTCTTTCCACACTCCACGCATTTAAATGAATTCTCCCCCGTGTGAGTCCGTAGATGAATTCTAAGGTCTCCACTCCGACTGAAGTTCTTACCACACTCAATACATTTAAATGGTTTCTCCCCTGTGTGACTCAGTTGATGAATTCTAAGGTCTCCACTTCGCCTGAAGCTCTTTCCACACTCCATGCATTTAAATGGTTTCTCCCCTGTGTGAGTCCGTTGATGAATTCTAAGGTTTCCACTAGTAGTGAAGCTCTTTCCACACTCCATGCATTGAAATGGTTTCTCCCCTGTGTGAGTCCGTTGATGAATTCTAAAGTGTCCACTCTGACTGAACCTCTTTCCACACTCCATGCATTTAAATGGTTTCTCCCCTGTGTGACTCAGTTGATGAATTCTAAGGTTTCCACTAGTAGTGAAGCTCTTTCCACACTCCATGCATTGAAATGGTTTCTCCCCTGTGTGAGTCCGTTGATGAATTCTAAAGTGTCCACTCTGACTGAACCTCTTTCCACACTCCATGCATTTAAATATTTTATCCCCTGTGTGAGTCCGTTGATGAATTCTAAGGTCTCCACTCTGACTGAAGCTCTTTCCACACTCCATACATTTAAATGTTTTCTCCCCTGTGTGAGTCCGTTGATGAATTCTAAGGTTTCCACTCTGACTGTAGCTCTTTCCACACACCGTACATTTAAATGGTTTCTCCCCTGTGTGAGTCCGTAGATGAATTCTAAGGTTTCCACTCTGACTGTAGCTCTTTCCACACTCCATGCATTTAAATGGTTTCTCCCCTGTGTGAGTCCGTTGATGAATTCTAAGGTGTCCACTAGTAGTGAAGCTCTTTCCACATTCCATGCATTTAAATGGTTTCTCTCCTGTGTGAGTCCGTTGATGAATTCTAAGGTCTCCACTCTGACTGAAGCTCTTTCCACACTGCATACATTTAAATGGTTTCTGCCCTGTGTGAGACCATTGATGTTTTCTAAGGTTTCCACTGTCAGTGAAGCTCCTTCCACACTCCATACTTTCAAATTGTTTATGTTCTTTGTTTTCACACTCCATGCATTTAAATGGTTTCTTCGTTATTCCCATTAGACATGGCCCACCAGAATTCTGATTGGCTTCTCTATTGTCTTCTTTCAATAGGGAGGGGTAGGGAGAAAATCCTTTTTGTTTTCTAGGAAGAGAACAAAGGACTATTACACATCAATTAGCACCTGCTCTTATTTTAACGTGTTGTCCTCCATACGTTCCAAATTTTTAGGAAAGGCAAATGAAATAATGTAAAATAATGGTCATGCACCACTAGCCTTTTATAACCCTTAATTATTGTTAATGGAGCAGCATTATCTTAGAATACGGTTGAACTGTGGGCTTTACGTTTTATAAAAAGTGGTTTCTCACAGGAAAGGGAGCTGCTGTATGTTCCAATATTCCTCAGGGTCCTAAGTTCATCATGATGTTCTTCATCTTCTGCACTATAATCCTCCACCCCTTGGGCCACATTTTGTCCCCTTCGACCTCTAGATGTTTATTAATCACCTGCACAGTCCCTTTGGCCTCAGGATGTCCATACTGACCATTTTGGAAGACCCATATGTAAGTCTAGTGACAAGGCTTTGTGCTTGTGGTCGGTTGAAGGAGTGCTCAGTTGGTGAATGTTCTTGGGGCTGGACCTCCATCTCTCAGCTTTGCATTATTGAATGGAGAGAGCTGGAGATGCAGAAGGAAAGCAGCTGGAGCCTGACTGCTGGGAAGGCCAGACTGAGACACCCACCCCAATTATGATTTATACTAATTATATGCCGCCATGTCTCGCACCCGCCTCCTGACACTGGCTTATCTTAGCAGAGATTCCCTGTTCAGGCCTCTCTCACTGTTCTTCCTCCTTGGCCGTGGGTGGCCAAGGGCTTCTGGATATTCTAGCTCTGCTCCAACTGGGAATTATTTATTACATTTGTATACCTCTCTTCATCTGAAGATCACAAGATAAAAATATGTGTGACACTGAAAAAGGTGAGTATTAAAGGTGAATAATACCCATTGTCCCCTTCATGGATCACTTCCTTGCCGTGGCAAAGGGGCTCGAATAACTCAGAGAAGCTATGAACTATACCGAGCAGGGCACCCAAGATGGACAGGTCATGGTGGAGAGTTTTGACCAAACGTGATCCACCTGGAGGAGGAACCGGCAAGCCACTCCAGTATACCTGCCAAGAAAACTCCATGGACAAAGACAACAGGCATATAAAAGTTATGACGCTGGAAGACGAGCCCCTCAGGTCGGAAGGCGTCCAACATGCTACTGAGGAAGAGCGGAGGGCAAGTACAAGTAGATTCAGAGCTGATGAAGCGGCTGGGCCAAAGCCGAAAGGACGCTCAGTTGCGGATATGCCTGGAAGTGAAAGCAAAGTCCAATGCTGTAAAGAAAAATATTGCATAGGAACCTGGAATGTAAGAACCATGGACCTGGGTAAGTTGGATGTGGTCAAAAATGAAATGGCAAGATAAATATTGACATCCTGGGCATCAGTGAACTAAAATGGACAGCAATGGGCGAATTCAGTTCGGATGACCATCATATCTACTACTGTGGGCAAGAATCCCATAAAAGACATGGAGTGGCCATCATAGTCAACAAAAGAGTGGCGAAAGCTGTACTGGGATGCAATCTCAAAAATGATAGAATGATCTCGATATGAATCCAAGGCAGAACTTTTAACATCACAGTAATCCAGGTTTATACACCAAGTACGGGTGCTGAAGAAACTGAAATCGACCAATTCTATGAAGACTTACAACACCTTATAGAAGTGACACCAAAGAAGGATGTTCTTTTCATTATAGGGGATTGGAATGCTAAAGTAGGGAATCAATAGATAAAAGGAATAACTGGCAAGTTTGGCCTTGGAGATCAAAACAAAGCAGGGCAAAGGCTAAGAGTTCTGTCAAGAGAACAAGCTGGACATCACATACATGCTTTTCCAACAACACAAGAGACGACTCTACATATGGACAACACCAGATGGGCAGCATCGAAATCAGATTGATTATATTCTCTGCAGCCAAAGATGGAGAAGCTCTATACAGTCAGCAAAAACAAGACCTGGAGCTGACTGTGGCTCAGATCATCAGCTTCTTATAGCAAAATTCAAGCTTAAACTGAAGAAAGTAGGAAAAACCACTGGGCCGGTAAGATACAATCTAAGTCAAATCCCTTATGAATACACAGTGGAAGAGGGAACAGGTTTAAGGATTTAGATTTGGTGTACAGAGTGCCTGAAGAACTATGGATGGAGGCTTGTAACATTATACAGGAGGCAGCAACTAAAACCATCCCAATGAAAAGGAAATGCAAGAAAGCAAAGTGGCTGTCCAACAAGGCCTTACAAATAGTGGGTGAGAGAAGGCAAGCAAAATGCGAGGGAGATAGTGAAAGATACAGGAAATTGAATGCAGATTTCCAAAGAATAGCAAGGAGAGACAAGAAGACCTTCTTAAACGAGCAATACAAAGAAATAGAGGAAAACAACAGAATGGGAAGAACCAGAGATCTCTTCAAGAAAATTGGAGATATGAAAGGAACATTTCATACAAAGATTACCATAATAAAGGACAAAAGTGGTAAGGACCTAACAGAAGCAGAAGACATCAAGAAGAGGTAGCAAGAATACACAGAGGAATTATACCAGAAAGATATGGATGGCTCGTACACCCCAGGTAGTGTGGTTGCTGACCTTGAGGCAGACATCATGGAGAGTGAAGTCAAATGGGCCTTAGAAAGCACTGCTAATAACAAGGCCAGTGGAAGTGATGATATTCCAGCTGAACTATTTAAAATTTTAAAAGATGATGCTGTTAAGGTGCTACACTCAATATGGCAGCAAGTTTAGAAAACTCAGCAGTGGCCAGAGGATTGGAGAAGATCAGTCTACATCCCAATCCCAAAGAAGGGCAGTGCCAAAGAATGCTCCAACTACCACACAATTGCACTCATTTCACACGCTAGCAAGGTTATGCTTAAAATTCTACAAGGTAGGCTCAAGCAGTATGTGGACCGAGAACTCCCAGAAGTGCAAGCTGGATTTAGAAGAGGCAGAGGAACCAGAGACCAAATTGCAAACATGCGCTGGATTATGGAGAAAGCTAGAGTGTTCTAGAAAGAAATCTACTTCTGCTTCATTGACTATGCAAAAGCCTTTGACTGTGTCAACCACAGCAAACTATGGCAAGTTCTTAAAGAAATGGGAGTGCCTGATCACCTCATCTGTCTCCTGAGAAATCTTTACGTGGGACAAGAAGCTACAGTTAGAACTGGATATGGAACAACTGATTGGTTCAAAATTGGGAAAGGAGTACAAGGCTGTTTATTGTCTCCCTGCTTATTTAACTTATATGCAGAATTCATCGTGCGAAAGGCTGGGCTGGATGAATACCTAGCCGGAATTAAGATTGCCGGAAGAAATATCAACAACTTCAGATATGCAGATGACACAACCCTGATGGCAGAAAGTGAGGAGGAATTAAAGAACCTTTTATTGAGGGTGAAAGAGGAGAGCACAAAATATGGTCTGAAGCTCAACATCAAAAAAACGAAGACCATGGCCACTGGGCCCATCACCCCCTGGCAAACAGAAGGGCAAGAAATGTAGGCAGTGAGAGATTTTATTTTCTTGAGCTCCATGATCACTGCAGATGGTGACAGCAGCCACAAAATTAAAAGACGCCTGCTCCTTGGGAGAAAAGGAATGACAATCCTAGACAGCATCTTAAAAAGCAGAGACATCACCTTGCCAACAAAGGTCCGTATAGTTAAAGCTCTGGTTTTCCCAGTAGTGATGTATGGAAGTGAGAGCTGGACCATAAAGAGGGCTGATCGCCGAAGAATGGATGCTTTTGAATTCTGGTGCTGGAGGAGACTCTTGAGAGTCCCATGGACTGAAAGAAGATCAAACCTCTCCATTCCTAAGGAAATCAGCCCTGAGTGCTCACTGGAAGGACAGATCCTGAAGCTGAGGCTCCAAGACTTTGGCCACCTCATGAGAAGAGAAGACTCCCTGGAAAAGACCCTGATGCTGGGAAAGATGGAGGGCGCAAGGAGAAGGAGACGACAGATGGTTGGACAGTGTTCTTGAAGCTACCAGCATAAGTTTGACCAAACTGCGGGAGGCAGTGGAAGACAGAAGTGCCTGGCGTTCTCTGGTTCAGGGGGTCACGAATAGTCGGACACAACTGAACGACTAAATAGCAACATCCATCCATTGTGGGAAAGAAAAGTAAGAAGATGAAACCAGTGGTGTGTCTACCTGAAGGTAATTAATAATAATAATAATAATAATAATAATAATAATAATAATAATGTGTAAAGAAGAAACCAATCTTCAAATCAGTTTCATATTCCCTGGCCAGGGATGATGGGAGTCTTATCTGGGGGGACAAACTTTTCCCACTTCCTCCCTCCACCCCCGAGGGACCCCTTTCCCCAGAGGACCCCTGGTCGGCTCAGCTTCCTGCCAAATCTCTCCCCATCCCAGGAGGGGGGGGAGGTCTCCATCCCGGCCTCTCTCGCCCCCATTAACCCTTCCATGGACTCCTCAGTCTCTCTCCCCCCCCCAATATATAGATATATTTCGCACCTCTTTTCCCTCCTCCTCTGCAGAGCTGCTCCTCTTCCGGGAATGTGGATCAGGCCCCTCCCCTCCCCCCTTACCCCCTCCAAACCTCCCTGCCTCTCTAGGAAGCGGAGCTCGCTGATGGGGGGGGGGGAATGAGTGGCCCCTCCCTCCCAGGAGAGACAAATTCTCCTCCTTCCAAACAAGCTCCGTTTTCCTGTTTCTCTCCTGAGAAAGTCCCGGGTTCAATCCCTGGAGGCGGGAGGGAAAGAGACCCCCCCCTTACTGGGAAAAAGCCCTCCGGGGCAGGAAGGTGACATCCCCCCTTCATCTCTTTTAATCCCTTGCCGGGAGAGGGGGGGTCCGGTCAGTTTCACACCCATTTCCCGATGGGGGGGGAGGCAGGGTCGTGGCGCAGGGGGTCCCTGTTACAACAGCCCTGCAAAGTAGACCGGAGTTGCTACACACTTTTGGGACTCAGAGAGTAACTTAAAGCTAATGGGACCCCTGACCATTAGGTCCAGTCATGGCCGATTCTGGGGTTGCGGTTCTCATCTCACTTTATTTGCCGAGGGAGCCGGCGTACAGCTTCTGGATCATGTGGCCAGCAGGACTAAGCCACTTCTGGCGAACCAGAGCAGCGCACGGAAACGCCGTTTACCTTCCCGCTGGAGTGGTACCTATTTATCTACTTGCACTTGGACGTGCTTTCGAACTGCTAGGTTGGCAGGAGCAGAGACCGAGCAAGGGGAGCTCACCCTGTCACGGGGATTCGAACCTTCTGATCAGCAAGCCCTAGGCTCTGTGGTTTAACCCGCAGTGCCACCCGCGTCCCTGGACAGTAACTTACGGCAACCATAAAGCGCAGTCCAGTGTGTCATTACGGGGGCCTCTTTTAAATAGGGGCTGGTGTTTGAACTTGGGCTTTGCTAATGTTACGGAATTGGCGGGGGGGGCACTTGTGTGAGAGCAGGTATCTTTGGCCGTCTCCCCCTTCCTTGCTTGCCCCTTCTGCGTTCCCATGGCATGTCCAGCCGAATTCGACTATGGCGTGTGGTACATATCTCCGCCTCCAGACGGATGGAGCCAGGCAGCTTTCTGGGTCATGTGCCCAACTTTTCATGAGCTGATATTAAATCCCAAAAGAACTACAGCTGCTTGTTACAAAGGGTGGGGGCTGATTCGGGTAGGTTAATGATATTAACTCTTTCCATGCTCATTTCTGATGCTCAGAAGCAGGTGCACCCTTTCCTAGACCTTCCTGATGACATTCTCAGTCTGACAAACAGCATTTACACAGAAACACGGATCAAACATGAAAAACCCTTTACATAACTCCCTTTCTAAAATTCAAGGAGACCATCTTATAACATATTCCCGCTATAACACACAAATGCTAATTAAATCCTAATATTTACTATGCCTAAACATCAAGCACCACAGACCTATAATAATAATAATAATAATAATAATAATAATAATAATAATTTATTATTTATACCCTGCCCATCTGGCTGAGTTTCCTCAATCACTCCCCAATCGAGTGTTAAAAACAGTAAAGCATGAAATATTAACAACTTCCCTAAACAGGGCTGCCTTCAGATGTCTTTTAAAAGTAAGATAGCTGCTTAATTTCTTGACATCTGATGGGAGGGCGTTCCACAGGGCAATGGTCTGGTCCCCTGTAACCTCACTTCTCGCAGGGAGGGAACCGCCAGAAGGCCCTTGGAGCTGGACCTCAGTGTCCAGGTTGAACGATGGGAGTGGAGACGCTCCTTCAGGTATACAGGACTGAGGCCATTTAGGGCTTGAAAGGTCAGCACCAACACTTTGAATTGTGCTCAGAAACGTACTCAAATATTCCTCCGCAGGAAAGGAGGCAAATGGAAGCCTTCCCATTGTCTTTGTGCTTACAAATACTGTCTTAAGGAGGGATGAACAGGGTGGGCCTGTGACCTGGATTCAGGAACTAAAGTATTTACCATCACAAAAGAATGGCCAGGCTGCCCAGGTAATGCAGTTAGTGACCATTAACAGGTATCCTTGAGGACAGGTTTTCTGCTGTAGACCGCCTCCTGTGATCTATTCCTGCTGTAGACAGTCTCCTTCTGTATGATATTTGGGGGGGTGGTCTTGGGTGGGCAATTTCAAAAGACTATTTAAGGCCTTGCACACCTCCCTCCTAGTTGTGGTGAGGGGGGGGACACTGTTGCAATAAAGACCAAGCTTACTAGCCGCTTTGCTTCTCAGTATTCTCTGCTTGGTCTCTGTTATTTTCTCCTGCCAATATGGAACCCACTTAAGGACTATATGGGCTCTTGGATACCCCATAAGGGGAAAGGAGCAGGTTTTTTCTTAGAACAAAGGTCGTAAGAATATGGTTGGTTGGCACGCTTATTTATGGCAGGATGAAACTAAAACACACAAGAGCTCTATGAATCAGGTTATTCAGAAAATCCTTTTTACAGTATGGGATAAATATAATAATCTTCTGGAAAGAAAAACACCTCTTTGGCTCCAACCCACAAAAGCAACAGCTTTTTTAAAAATGCAATACAGAAGAAGCAATGGGTAACTTACAGAGATCTTTCGGACTTTTCGGAAGAAAAAATAAAACTGAATAAACAGGATGAGGTGGGAGGTGTGGTGGCGGATTGGTTTCAATACCATGAAATCATCTTGTTTGGACAAGATAAAGGGAGAGGTTTTTGGACTGAAAGTTCACAGTCTGAAAGAGATATTATTGCAAGGAAAGAGAAAGTTTTTCCCAAATTTCAGGTAGAAGACTGTCCAATCTGAAGAAGTGTGCATGCACACAAAAGCTTATCCCCAGAACAAACTGAGCTGGTCTCTTGGGGACCCAGCCAGGCGCCCCACGACCCCAGGGATTTCTGCCAGGGGCAAACCGGGAGAATGGGGGGCCTCAGCCCCACCCCCAGCCCTGCTGGGGGTCCTCATTCCCCTTCCCGCCAAGGCGTCCGGGGGGGCAGGGCAGCTGAGCATCTCTCGGCCCCCCAGGAAAGAGGAAGGGGAGTCTGACGGTGCTGCTGCTGCCCAGGAGATCTTGCAAGGCCAGCCCTGCAGGTGTTGGGTCCCCCTTCCCACCTGGGTCGGGGCCTGGATCGGGGTCCCTGTCGACGGGCCCCAGGGAGGGCTCTTTCCTTAGGGGGGGGTCTCTTCATCCTTATCCCCCCCTCTATTCCCCCCCTCTCTCCCTCTTTACCTCTTGGTCCTCCGCCTCCCTGGCTCCAGATTAGTCCGCTTTCCTTGTCTGCAATAAAAAGGGCGGCGGCGACGGGGGCTCTTCAGCGACGCTCCTCCTCCTTTTCCGGTCAGGAAACTTCCGGCGCATTTCGCAGCGACACTTCCGGTTCTTTTTGGGATTCGCTTGCCCCTAGAGCTACGTCTATAGAGCAGCCCCTCCCTGTGTTGGGATGGGAAGAGGACGGGACGGCGCTGCCTCTGGGGGCTCCATGGGGACATGGCCCCCCTCCTTCCTCCTCCCCACAGCAGGGGGGCGAGATGGCGGCCAGGGGGGGGGGCATCATATCTGGGGGTGACCTGGGTTTGCGGGGAGAGAAGGAGGTGGTTTTCAATCTGCAAGCAGGGAGGCTGGGAGGGAAGAGGATGAATGAGAAGTAGGGAAGGGCTGCCCCTCCCCTTGTGGGTCAGAAGAGTGGGGGAGGGGCGGACCCAGGGAAGCCAGGGGGGTCACTCCCCCCCCCGCCCAGATTTGCCTCGCAAGGTCCTCTGTGAAGCCCAGAGATGGACCCAGCCCCTGGGGGTGGGAAGAGACATGGGGCTGCCTGAGAGAGAAGGGGCGCTTCCTTTCCTCTCCCCCCTCCTCCCCACAGGCTCTCCTGCGCCCAGAGACCCCCTTGGCCCGGCTGCCCCCTCGCCAGGCAGGGAGAGGGTGGGGTCCCCTTCCGCCTTGAGAGGAGTGCAATGGGGTTGTGAGGGGGGGAGACCCCTTTCTGCTCCCCTCCCAAGAGGGTCCCCGTTGTGTCTCTGAGGGACAAGAGAGGAGGAGCCCCTCCCCCCGCTGCTTCTTTCCCTCAACGACTTTTCCCGCCTTTTCCCAACTTCCCGCCCTTCGAAATCTGAGCCTCGCCTCAGTTTCAGGCGCCAAGGAGGCAGATTCCCCGGGCTCCCTGCTGTATTAGTGGATTTCTTCTCATTCGCCCTGATTTCTGCTCATATATCTTGCTTTTGGAGCTTCTCTCTGCTTCTTTAGTAAGAAGGCTGTATAAAACCCCCCTCACCACTGCCTGAATCCCATACAGTATGTAAAAGTCTGATTTCTTCCCATTTGCTGTGTATAATTCTTCCTCCAGGACTGTTCTTCCTTCCTGGCAGTGTCACTTCCAAACTAATAATTATTCCCTCACTGTCCTTATATAGCTGCTTGGGGTCTAGTTTGGGGCCTGCATAAAGAACCTCCTCTCTTTTTTCCTTTTAGCTGTAGGTATAAATTCACGGCCAAAAGCCTTATTGATACACAATTTTCCATCTGATGCCTGCTTACTCGGAAGTAAGTCCTACTCTGCTCCAATGTGCGGAGCCAGCAGTTCAGGCGGTTCTGCTAGCAGGAGGCCAAAGGACCCGGAGTGGTTTGCAACCAGGGTGGTTTCCAAATGCTGCCCTTTTTGATACGTTTCCATTTATTCTTTTGCGTGGGGACTGGCCAGATTGAAACCCCCCACCCCATTCAAAAGAAGGACTTGCAAAAGATTTCAAAGGCGGAATTTCCAAAAGATGGCACTTTGTCCTGAATTTAAGACAAGTCAGTCGAAAACTCATGGGCTTTTTTGGCGTTTATTTGGGGCCTTGTCTAAATAAAAGCTCTACAGTTTTCGGGGGTCCTGGTTTTCCCTTTTTGAAATATGGCAACCCTAATTATTCTGGGCTCTGCTTGAACGGAAACTCCCTTTTAGAGCTCAGTCAGTAGAGCATGAGACTCTGAATCTATGGGTCGGGGGTTTGAGCCCCACTTTGGGCAAAATATTCCTGCATTGCAGGGGGCTGGACTAGATGACCCTCGTGGTCCCTTCCAACTTGACAATTCTAGGATTCTACCATGTGTAGAGGAAAGATCGCCTTCTTGTGGGCAGTGAAGGAATGATGTCATGTTGGTTGGTGGGAACCGTTCTTGAGTGTTGCCTTGTCACACACATGCAACACCACAACAGTCCTGTGAAAGGAAGCGGGGGTGTGCATTTCTGCAGGCTGATGTCCATCCATCCAGCTGCCCAGGCCCCAGCACCTCCCCCTAACAGTGAAGGGTCCCAGTCTGGAAATCCTCCCTTCCTGCTGGAGATGAGGCAGTGAGGGATTCCAGACAGACAGTGGTGTCATTGCTCTGGAATTCCCTTGCCAGCAGGGAGACTTCAACCCCCCCCATGCCTCCCCCTTCCCTCATTCAGTACGGAGACTTTTCATCTTGTGGTTGGGTCATTTTAAATCCCCCTTTTCTCTCTCTCCCTGCAATATTAAGCAATTGTGGCTCTTATGATCCCTGCAGGGTATTAAGTGTTGTTCTAACCTCCCTATTGCAGGTGGAAAGAGGAATGTGGGGCTTGCTTATAATATCTTAGGGTGGCAGGATTAAGATTTGGGACTGGGACTTTCAGATTCAGAGCCACTTTTCGAATGAAAAGTGAATGCCTGCTGGAAGGAGAAAACGAGGTGCAAAGAGCCAGAAGACCATTATTGAGACTCACAATTCCTCTAAAACAAAGAATCGGCAGAGAGCCAACGCTCTGTTGGACTTTATGGATTACAAAATCATCATGCTCAGAGATATGAATGGAGTGGTTTCGACAAATATGGATAAATCAGAAAGACAAGTGGTAACTAAAGATGGAAGACTACCGAAACCTTTTTTTGAAATGACAGACAATATGGACTTGATTGATACTTGGAGAACTAAGAACCCCCTAGGCAGAGAGGGAACCTTCTTTTCTGAAGCCCAAAAGACCTGGACAAGAATTGACCAAATCTGGATTACCAGAGGACTGGCTCCCAAGATTTGAAGGGTGGAAATCTGCCCAAAAACTTGCTCCGACCATAACCCTGTGAAAATGGAATTGAAAGTAACATCGACTGGCTCCTTCAGATGGAGGATGAATGACACCTTGTTTAGAGATCAGGAAATTATTAAGAAGGCCCAAAAAATTATGAGAGACTATTTTGAGATAAATTTGAAGACTTCTGTGGAAAAAAGTAATTTGGGACACTAGCAAAGCTGTAATGAGAGGATTTCTGATTCAACAAAATGCAATAAAAAAGAGAATTCAAGAGGAGAAAAAAGAAAAGATATTGGGAAAAATAAGAGAAGGAGAGAGGAAACTTAGATCCAAACCAAAGTCACAAGAGATCTTAAGAGAAATTAAGCTACATCAAGTACAATATATGAAAATGATAAATAAAGAAATAGAATGGAAAATTAAACAGATGAGACAAAAGACTTTTGATTCAGCAAATAAATGTGGGAAGTTGCTAGCATGGCAGTTGAAGAAGAGACAAAAATTGAACACGGTAACTAACCTTGAAGTTGATGGAAAGAACATATAGAATCCACAGGAGATAAGAAGTTGTTTTCAGAGATACTTCAAACAACTTTACACACAAGGGCCACAGAATGAGATTGAAATTGACCAATTTTTGAAAATTAATGGATTACAAAAAATTTCTCAAGAAAATAAATTGTTTTTGAACTATAAAATAACAGAACAAGAGGTGGAAGGTGCCATTCAGAATATGCAACTAGGCAAATCCCCAGGGCCTGATGGACTAACCTCCAAATATTATAGAACTCTGAAAGACTATTTAATTCAACCACTAAGGGAGGTTTGTAATGAAATTATGGAGGGGGAAAAAGCGCCAGAGTCGTGGCAAGAAGCATATATCACACTTATACCGAAAAATGAGACTGAGAAGACACAACTTAAGAACTACCGTCCCATATCCTTTTTAAATGTGGATTACAACATTTTTGCAGACATTTTGGCTAAAAGATTGAAAAAAGTATTGGCTGAAATGATACATAAAGACCAGGCCGGCTTTCTCCCTGGTAGACACTTATCCGATAATATGAGGAATATGATTAATATTTTGGAAAAGTTACAAGTGAATATCAATACAGAAGCAGTTTTGATATTTGTAGACACGGAGAAAGCCTTTGACAATATCTCTTGGAGCTTTATGAAGAAAAATCTTCAGGGGATGGGGGTAGGTGCGATTTACTCTGAGCAAAAGGCTAAACTGATAGTTAATAATGTGGTGACAGAAGAGTTTAGGATTGAGAAAGGGACACGACAAGGCTGCCCAATTTCCCTATTACTTTTTATTTCAGTCCTGGAAGTTTTGCTAAACATGATAAGAAGGGACCACTTGATACAGGGTATTCAGGTCGGAGTTAAACATTACAAACTTAAAGCTTTTGCAGATGACCTTGTTTTGACATTACAGGAGCCAATAGCTAGCACTAAGAGGGCACTAGAATTAATCCAGGATTTTGGTCAAGTGGCAGGATTTAAGTTAAACAAGACAAAAACCAAAGTTTTGGAAAAAATTTTGTCTCCGACTGAGAGAGAAAGGTTTCAGAAGGAGACAGACTTAACATTGGTAAAGAAGGTAAAATACCTGGGGGTGAATATGACTTCTAAGAATGTTAATTTATTTAAAGACAATTATGAAAAATACTGGTCAGAAGTGAAAAAACATTTGGAAATTTGGACAAACTTGAAGCTTTCCTTGCTAGGTCGAATTGCTGTTATTAAGATGAATGTATTGCCGAGAATGCTGTTTTTGTTTCAATCTTTGCAAATTATTGACAAGATGGATTGTTTCAAGAGGTGGCAAAGAGATATTTCTAGATTTATCTGGCAGGGCAAAAAGCCCAGAATAAAATTTAAGATACTAACGGATGCTAAAGATAGAGGGGGGGTTTGCCCTGCCAGATTTCAAACTCTACTATGAATCAGCAGCTTTTTGCTGGTTGAAGGAATGACTACTTCTTGAGAACACAGACATCTTAGATCTTGAAGGTTATGATAATGTATTCGGGTGGCATGCATATTTGTGGTATGGCAAGGTTAAAATACACAAGGCCTTTAAAAACCATATTGTCAGGAAGGCATTGTTTAATGTATGGTCGAGATATAAAGATTTTCTGGAAAGTAAAACCCCAAGGTGGCTCTCACCTATGGAAGCGAAGGCTTTGAAAAAACTTAATATGGAGACTAAATGGCCAAAATATTGGGAAATTTTGGAACAGGAAGGGGACAAATTGAAACTGCAGAGTTATGAGAAGCTTAAAGATAAGGTGCGAGACTGGCTACATTATTTTCAAATAAGAGAGGCTTATAACCAGGATAAAAAAGTGGGTTTCCAGGTGGAAATCTAAGCTCTATCTAAGTTAGACAGAATTGTTAGAACCCAATGCTAAGATATTATCAAGAATGTATAATTTGCTGTTGAAATGGAACACTGAGGAAGAAACGGTAAAATCTGCTATGATAAAGTGGGCACAAGATATAGGATATAATATTATGTTTGCTGACTGGGAGAAGTTGTGGACCACCGGGATTAAATTTACGGCATGTAATGCCTTAAGAGAGAATATTATGAAAATGATGTACAGGTGGTACATGACCCCAGTTAAGCTTGCAAAAATATATCATTTACCCGATAACAAATGTTGGAAATGTAAGGAAACAGAAGGTACATTCTTTCACCTTTGGTGGACGTGCCCTAGGATTAAGGCCTTTTGGGAGACGATATATAATGAACTAAAAAAGGTACTCAAGTACACTTTCCCTAAGAAACCAGAGGCCTTTCTCCTGGGCATAGTCGGCCAATTGGTGTTAAAGAAGGATAGAACTTTTTTTATGTACGCAACAGCAGCAGCAAGAATACTTATCGCAAAGCATTGGAAGACACAAGACCTACCCACCCTGGAAGAATGGCAGATGCAAGTAATAGAATATATGGAGATGGCGGAAATGACTGGCAGAATCCGA